CTGAAAGATCATGATGGAGACAAGTTTGTGGTTCAGTATAGAGATGATTACGCTCATGCGGACTATGTCATGGCAGAAAATGCTAAACAAGATGTATATGATCCTTTAATTGCCTTCTTTAGGCTACAGTAGTCAATATATATACACAGAGAGAGAGATTAAAAGAAAAAGCTTCAATCGATCTGCTTTTTTTCTTCTTTTCACCTTTAGTTAACTGTATGCAGTATTAATTGAAGATCCCATTATTTACAAGTCTAGAGAGCAGTACTGAATCTATTGATCACAGAAATCATAAATTATAAAGTTATACAGTAAATTATATATTATATAATCAGTATTCGAGTATGTAAATCATAAACTATATGAAGTGTGAACAAACAATTTGGTGCGCACTTACGAGAACATTGGAAGTGGCGTTGTCGTAGACGGTCCAGGCAGAAGCTAAGGTAACACGGTGGCGAAATCCGAGATACTATATGCAGGATCGAGGTAAGCAGGAATGTCCCCTTTTAGACCAAACGCCTACAAGATGAAGTCGGTTTCGATTTTGCCATGGCAAAACCTTACCGCACCATTGAAATCACGACCATAAGGCTTTATATTGATCCTAGCAATGGTGGGGATATAACTGCTGTTCCCGACATCGAGCACGAGTCCCCGAACACTATGATTACCGGGACTTTGCCCCATTTATATAGTTAGTTCAATACAAGTTAAATATTTTCTTTTATTAGTATGAGAAGATTATAATATAATATCTATTTAAAATTTTCTTAGTCAATTGACAACAAATGTATACATACCCTACAGACATGCAGTTGCACAACTCGGGATGTCAAGCGAGAATAACACTCCTTTTTACACTCAGGTAACTTAATGGGTCCAAAGTTAAATTTTGTATATAAAAAGGTTGATAAAGTTATTATCCGTGATTGGTATGCTGTCGCCGGACATATTCTCCGATAGAGCAACCGGATTTCCAAGCGTATGGCCAAGTTGACTCTCACGGACCATGCCTCCAACTCTATAACTCTCATTCACCGTCTGTTTCGCAGGTTGTATTAGAGGATACTGCTGATGTAGGGTTCCCACGCTTAGTACCAATTGTCAAGTATAGCTGTATAAGGCTTTTGTTACTGCTAAATTTTAGCAAAAGAAATGAGTAGATTTCTTTACAAATGAAGCAGATCGAAAAAGGCGAAAACATTGATATTGAAATTACAATTAATGAATCTATATATATGAATGAACAGCATGCATGAAAAAGAGAGGTGTAGTACGTGGTTGCAGAGAAATGAAACATGTATGCTAATAAGAAAACATAGCTAAAAGAGGTGGAATGAGATGATCGGAGATGATTTTGTTGGTCTTTTCAGTGGGATGGAAAGCATCCCAGAATACATATTTATTGGCTTCACTGCATGTAAATGGATTGTACTGATTACATAGGTAACTCATCTCGAATGTCCCCGTCGAACAACACGCCACTCCCGTCACCTCAAACCCTGCAAATAACATTTCTCTTTTTATTCGCAGGATCCTCTAAAATATAATACCCGATTACAAAAACGCTAAATGATGTGATCCATTTTAATCCAATCGTATTGCAGAAGATTTTATACTATTTTAATTAGTTTTCAAGTGACTATAGTTAATGCAAAAATGATCAAAGAAGTGGTCCAATGAGCCCATTAACATCTTTCCTTTGCCGGTACAGTCAATATATAAACGAAAATGCAATGAAAGAGAAACTTACCGAACTGAGAAGGTTTCGTGATAATTTGATAGAAAATACCATACGCAGGTGCAGATACCATTCGCAATCCAGGAAGTTGTTTGTTCAGTTTTACCACCAGCCCTTCCAATTTCCTGTTGAATTCGGATGCTTCATTGTTGTAATCGGGTACACAGTCGTTTTGGCCTAGGAAGTTACCGGGTCGACCTGAATCTAGTCGAATTCATACTAATATGGATGATCACCAAAGAGAGTAAGGTCAACCGAGACTTTGTGGGCAGTGCAGAGGTGAAGGTCATAACAGAAAATATTGTCCACATCTTTTAAAATATCGAGCTAGATGCTAAAAATAGGCGTTACAAAATATTATGTACTGTAAAACCCCTAGTTCCAAACTATTAGTAAAAATTTTATTTCTTTTTCAAGGATCAAGAGTAATCTCTGGAAAACCACTAGTTATTCAATGATTATCGGTAGAACCTTTGTAATTTTTAAATAAATCTAGTCGTTTAAGACCGTTGGGCTAGACAGTATCGATACTCCTCTTTATGGTATCGAGACTACTATGTAAATTAGTATCAGTACCCCATGAGTATCGGTACCTATTTTGCATTCTGGAGTTTGACCTGTTTGGAAAATACTGGTAGTATCGATACTACCAAATGATATCGATACTTCTTTTACCTTTAGTATCGGTACCAAATGAACAATATCAATATTGTTTTTAATTGAAAATGGAGAAGACAAATTTGTAATTGACAATTTAAATTTAAATTTTAAAACTTCATTAAAGTTTTTTAATTGAGAATTTACTCAAAATTAATCATCTTGATAACTATAACTTCTCATTTTAATGATAAATAAAATTTTGAATTTTAATGAGACAATAATTAATTAATAAAGACAACGTCATTTATAAACAAAAACCATACAAATCAATATTTGAACATTTGTCATTTTTTTTATTTTTTTACATCTCTCTATAATTCGATCTTCCTTTATCTTCTTCTTCTCAATTTCTATACCTCTTTTAATTTTTCTTCCCTATCAACTAGTCGTTTGCTACGCTACTTCGGTAAATCTTCATACTTCTTCTTCTTCTCCTCTTTTATTTTCATTTTATTCTTCTTAAGCTCCTCAACTATGTACTTTATTGTCTCATTTTCCCACTCTTCATCTGAAGAATAGCTTGAATTCGAATCGTCGATCTCCGAATTGGTGTTGTGAAACTCATAAACATCGTTAGTCAAATCAATCCCAAAATTTTTCCACGACCACATATTTGATATTCTCAAGGTTTTGTCACTTCTCATACATCATAATCTTCACCCTAAACCCTTATTTATACTAAAATTTTTAAAATAGTCGTTGGAACTCGTCACACCGACGTGACGAGTATTTTTTACCGTTCCACAACGGTCACTTCACCACAAGGTAATGAAATGTATGCGTTTCGGGCCTCCAATGCTCAATCAAAGCCGATATTAGTGCCGACATCACCTTAAATCCATGAAGAAATGTCGCTCCATATAATCCGGATTGTGAAAGATATATCACCATCCGCTCATGTGGCTCTTCATTCGTCATTCCTCGATGACGAATGGCTCGTTCTTCTCGCTACTATTTGAAAATAAATTATTTAATACAATTACATAAATAATTATTATTAAAAATATCATTTCGTTAAAACTACAATGAAATAAAACAAATTAAATTTACCGTTGTCAACTCAATCGACGAAATATGAACATCATCAAGACGTAACATTTCTTCTTTTGAGGTCATTTCAACACAAAAGTTTTTTGCTCTCAATAGAATGTTTGATTACAAGTGAAAAATGAATCCAACCCAAATCTCTATTTATACTACTCTACCCAACGACTAGTTTTTTCAAATAGCCGTTGGAACTAGTCACGCCAATCTGACGAGTTCCATTGAAATTAAAAAAAAAAATCAACCGTTGAACAACGGTCAATCCAGGGGTCAAAAATTCAAATTTATACCCGTTAGAACTCGTCACACCGACATGACAAGTTCCATGGGCATTAAAATATTTTTTTACTTTTTCTTTTAAAAAAATTTAAAAAATATTTTTTATTGTCACTCGTCACGCCCATGAGCACTGTTGTAATTGCCGTAGATCTAAAATTAAAAGTTAGGAGCCCTATTCGGCCAAATAATCCACCCGCCCCAATTTGGTCCATACAAGTCCCTATAAAGTTTATAAAATAATAAATTGATAATGAAATTGGTCTCCCTGAAATGATAAAATAATGATTTAATATTTTTAACATTATAAAATTTTAAATAAATACAATGATATATTGATAATTATTCATTAAAAATACATATAATTCGATGTTGACCCAATTTTTTTATCATCTCCTAGAAAGTGGGCTTCGATGATCCATTTATGGTTTCATTATGTTGGATATATTTTGGGCTTTCATGGGCAAACCATTTCCATCTCTAATGGATGCTTCTACCGAGTTTGAGACAAACATATAATATATATAGATATACATCAATAATTTCACCCAAAAACAAATGTCAAAATCCACTTAAGTGCAATTTATGAATCGGATACAATATAATATCTTTGCTTGACAAGTGTTAGTGAGTGTAGACATTTGTGTTCCAGATTGAGTGACCTAAACAACCACGTTCAGTAGTCAAGCCATTTAATCTTAGTTTGAGAAGGCTCCTAAAATTCAAACTTCGGATAAGAGTTAAGCCACTTCTAGAAGGCCAGGCCACATGAAGTAACTTAACATTTACTGCTCTAAACTTCCATTTTCAACGTAAATACCCTAATCTCAATGCAACTTTGTCTTTATGTGCAAGTGGCCCATTAACATCTTTCCTCTGCCGGTACAGTCGATATGTAAACGAAAATGCGATGAAAGAGAAACTTACCGAACTGAGAAGGTTTCGTGATAATTTGATAGAAAATATCCTACGCAGGTGCAGAGACCAACAAAGGTAACTTTATTATTCTCTGGCTTCATATTAATATGTATGTATATTTATGTAGTGGCTAACAAGTTACAACTTACAAGCACTTTGGAGGTTGCATTGTCGTAGGTGGCGAAATCCGATATATTATAAAATTTAATAGTTTGTCCAGTCTTCAACACCCAACTACTTCGTGGGGTCGACTGCCACATTACACGTAATCAATGACATAATCCTACAGGGTCTTTCCCCTATGCATGTCGAGGCCTATAAATAGAGAAGGAGAATATATGCCTTTGTTTTGAGCATCAACAAGAAAGAAAATCAAATATGGGTTCCATTTCCAAGAGCTTCCTTCTCCTCGCTCTTTTATCTGCCGTCCTTCTTCTCATATCTTCAGAAGTGGCAGCTCGAGACCTTGCTGAAAAAACAGCTGAAAAGAAAAATGGTCAGCAGCTAGCATGGCTTCTTAATACATTTATTTATTTTTCTTCTAAAAGTGAAACATAAATGTTCAATATGGTTATCGATTTTGCAGGTGAAGTGGATGGACGTGGAGGTTATAACGGTCAACATGGTGATGGCTATGGAGTACACGATGGACATGGACACGGACACGAACACGGTCACGGCCACGGCCACGGCCACGGACATGGGCATGGACATCACGGAGGAGGCTGCTACCACGGCTGCTCCCATGCTGACGAGGCTGTGGACTCTGAAACTCATGCCGATCCTGAAAACTAAAATAACGTTTGGAAATGGGACGAATGATGTATCTAAATAAACTGGCATAGCAAATCTTACAATTTGCTTTACGTCCTAAATGGAAATGCTTCCTTAATGTAGAAATATACGAGGAAATATAAATTATATAAAATTTTATCTACTTTTGACTTCTTGGAAAGCATGCTCTTTCTCAATCACACATAAATCTTATTCTGTTTTTTTTATTATTATTGTTATTTTACTGATGAATGATAAGTGTATAATTCTTAGCGACGGTAATATATAAAGTTTTCAATCAATTTGATCTGAGTCAGTTTGAATGAATATTGGGGACAATTACATCCTAAAATTCATATAATTTAGATACTTTTTATTTTATATTGATGATTTAATTTCGCACACCTAAATTTCTAATACAATTTCTTAAAGATTCACACCTTGATATAAAATTTTATGTTCGTCCCTAAATAGATGCTTACTCCTTCACTCAAGCTCCACTCAAGTTTAGGAAGGTCTCATTTGATTTGAAATTCTATTCAAATTTTTGAAGTAAAAAATTATATTTGATTCAACTTAAATATATATAAAAATATAGAGAGGGGAGTATTATAACAACTATCTCTAAATATAAAAAGAAAATTAACTATTAGCTTGAGTTAGGTCAAGTCGAAGATTTTTACACTAAACCCTAACTTAACTTTACCTCATTTTTTTATAAAATCTGATTCGATCCGATCTAATCTCGATTTTTTTTAAATCTAATATTATTTTGTCTATTAAGTAAATATCAAATTATCATACTTATAATTTTATATATTACTAAATATCAAATGATATCACATTATAAAAATATTTGAAAAAAAAATTAATGTTATAATTATATATAAATATATATCTAAGTTACTGCTAGTAAGCGGAGATATTTGACTTGGAGATTGAGTGAAGTAAAGAACCACGTTAGCCATTTAAACTCACATTGAAAAGAGTCTCCTAAAATTCAAAGTTTGGATAAGAGTTTAGCCACTGCTAGAAGGCCAGGCCACATGAAATCACTTGACATTTATTGCTCTAAACTTCCATTTTCCACGTAAATGCCCTACTCTCCAAGTATCTTTGTCTTCACGCATTTTTCTTGAAATATAATACGATCGGAATAGTTTGTTCAATCTCCAACAGCCAACTACCTAGTGGGGTCGACTGCTACATTACAGATAATCAATGACACAATCCTTTGGATATCGAGGCCTATAAATGAGAAAGGAGGGTGCATTTGTTTTAAGCATCAACAAGAAAGAAAATCAAATATGGGTTCCATCTCCAAGAGCTTCCTTCTCCTTTCTCTTTTAGCTGTTGTTATTCTTCTCATTTCTTCTCAGGTGGCAGCTAGAGGCCTTGCTGAAACTACCACCGAGGCTGAGGTAGAAGATGCCAAGTACGGGCACATCGGATACGATGGACGTGGTGGTTATAACGGTGGGCATGGAGATCACAGAGGATATGGCGGGTATGGAGGACATGTTGGACATGGAGGTCAAGGAGATCACGGAGGGTATGGTGGGTACGGAGGACACGGTGGACATGGACATCACGGAGGAGGCTGCTACCACGGATGCTGTCGTCCGAGTTATCACGGAGGTGGTTGCAAACGGTGCTGCTCTTACGCGGGTGAAGCGGTCGACGCTGAAACTCATGCCGATCCTCACAACTAATGTTAGCCTTTAGGCATGTATGGTGTATCTAAATAAATTGGCATGGCAAATCTTACAATTTGCTATACGTCCTAAATGAAAATGCTTCCTTCATGTAGACATGTACGAGGAAGTATAGATCGAATAAAATAACTAAGATTCCTTTGAGAATACAACTCTAGAGGTATATCCCTCAGCTTATTCAAATCAAGACTAAAAGGCCATAGACTAAAAGTAATATTCACCGATCATCTTAAAGGAGCATTGTTCTTTCTAAAGAATCCATGTTTGAGAGTAAAAAAATTCTAAAATAATACTACTTTATAATTACTTTACCTTATTAAAAAAAAATCATTAGAGCCTTCACGACCCCAAACCCTATTTGCAATGGACTAAAACAAGCTGAGACTATGAGACTTTCCAATAAACCTACCAAAAACCGCATTTTCCATTGGGAAGATCCCTCAGTAATAACCTATTTAGGATGATTAACAAGAATTTTACCATTTTTCTCAACGCGTGGAAAATAGTGAAGAGATTGATTAACAGAGGTGTAAAAAAAGGGATTTGCAGTTCAAATCTTCATGAGAAGATTGAACGACGGTAGATTTACTCAAATCATAAGCTTATAACTTTGGAAGGAACATCACATCTAACAATAGATATAACCAGATCAGAAACTACCATCTTTGAAAGAACAAAACAAACATTTAAAATTTAGACCAAAGTCACCAAACTATACCGGATGTTTTTACACCGAAATTTTAAAAATTATAAAATAGTCAATAAATTTAAAAAATATTATAAAAGTACAAATGCAATGTTATTATTCTTTCGTCCTATTTTTTGTGATCAATTTTTTAATTATAACTTTTAATTATTATTTTTTGAATAGTACGAGGATTATTCAGAATATTTCTTAATTATTGATAACAAACACTTTGTAGACACAATTGCTCGAACTCAAGACCTTAAGGATAGCAACACTCCCTTTGACTACAAAGACCACTTGATGAGTTATTTTATTACTTAAAAGTTTATTATTATTAAACATATAAAAATATATTTATAAAAACTTTCACCAAATAATTTTAAATCTACTTCTATAAAATTTAATTATTTAAAATATTTAGAATCATTATTGCTGAAGTTTAAAAAAATGACCATGAGAAAGTTAATAAGTAACAAATTCAATGGGATCCAAAAAATAACAATGGTAACAAATTGATAAATTTAATCATTATTTTATAATTATTTAATAAATTTAGTGATCCTTTTGTAACTTTTAAAAAATTTATAATCTAAACAACCATTTAAGCTTAATTTATTGATTTTTAATGTGCTTTACCCTTAAAACTTTTAATTAAGGTATCACAAATAAAATTATTTTATTTTGAGGAATTTTATAATTTCAAAAGATTATTTCTTTTGTTAATATATTATTTATATACTCTATCTATCCTATTAAATCTATTTTTTTTATTATTTTTGTCAATTTTTTAATTTTTACTCATTATTATTTAAAATTTATTATTGATAAAAATATAAAAAATATTTTAAAACTACTTGTTTTAAAGTTTTTAAAATATATTTTTATATTTTTATCAATAATAAATTTTAAATAATAATGAGGAAAAATTAAAAAATTTAATTGTTTAAAATATTTAAAATAATCATCAATAATGGTTGGTTCAAGTGGTAAGTAGCTAGATAAAAAACTTAAGCAATATATCGAATTTGAATCCTTGTAAATGCAAAAAAAAAAACTCTGGTGGAATACTCGTCCAATTATAAAATTAGATGTAATAACACGAGAAGAAAAAAATCAATAAAAGACATCCATACTTAATGGAATAAATGGAGTACTAATATAACAAGATACATTTAATAAAGGGTATAAGAGGTAGTGGAGTATTAATTGCACCCAGAAACACATGTCAAAAACCGTTGAATATTACATGCTAGTTATGAATAACACATAACTTAATAATTTTTATATATATATATATATATATATATATATATTTATACCTCGTGAATGAATTAGATGAGAATATATGATTATAGAATTATAAAATTAATTTTATTTAATTTATTTTTAATGATATATCATAATGCTATTTATTAATAATATATAAAATTATACATCACTGATGATAAAATATAAAGTTATAATATAATAATATCTTTGTTTGAATGCATGGAGTTAATGGGTGGTGGACACATTAGATTAGCATTGACTTTGAGAATTGAGATTGTGAGTGATCTAAACAGCCACGTGTATCTGGGTCTCACACATGGTAGATAAACTTTAATTTCACTCTGGTAAAACCTAACAATGAAATGAATACTGAAATTTATTGATTCATGTGATAAAAAAAGTGGATGATTTATGTAATGTTTGAAATTCAAGTAGTCCACCTACCCTGATGAAAAAGGTATTTACATTTATTGCTCCCAACTTCCATTTTTAACACATTTGCACGTAAATGACCTAATATCCATGCAAAGTAACGATGGTGGGGCACTCATCAACAAGTACTTTCTTGACTGAATCAGTCTTGTTCCTCTTTCTCGCTCTCTTTACCTCATGCAAAGTTGACATGAATGGGAACGTAGTTAATAGGATTGAATAGTTTAGCTACTCTTCAACACCCAACTACAATGCAGGGTCGACCAATATATTATTGTTTGGATACTGATCGATTGGGGGCTATAAATAGATACACACAATGTTGAGAAACAAAACGAAAACGAGTAATTTTTCTATAGCTCAATTAGTGAGAATGCGAAATAAAAGCAGAAAAATAAAACCTGAAATTGATAACGGAGTTCAGCCAATTATACCTATGTCTCCGGACTGCTGCATATCTTTTACTGAAGAGAGAAAATTTATAAGTGTTTACAAAGCACTCACTACTCACAAGAAAACTCTCTAGTATTGGGAGAAATAAATGATTTGGGATGATTTTTAAGCTAAACGGGTTAGGGTATTTATAGTTAAAGCTTAAGGATTAATCTTGAAAATACCCTAAAGTACAATGATTAAATGTGTGATTTTACCATTACTAAATTGTCAAAAATTTCAGCTTAATTTTGACAATTTGTTGCTGCCACCGAAAGTGGCCCCCAAAATCCAGCAAAAATTCCCACCAATTTTGGCTTCCAAAATCCACCGAAAATTGTCCACCAATTTTGACTTTTTCATTGGCTTTTCCAATAATCTCCCACTTGAAGACTAATTTTAATCTATCTTCACACCTCGATCAATGCAGCAGCATTTCTGATTTTGTTATTCTAGCATGCCAACTGAAGCTGAACACAACTTCAGTTTGTCTGTAGTCACCGCCCTGTAAACCCACTTGTTATTAGGCAGTTTCTCCGTGGTTGCCTTGTCCCTCAATGTCTTGGCTTCCTTCGACTCTTGTCTACTAGTCTTTGAAGGATTGTTCTTCACTTGAACATCTTCGGCAAGCCCTTGCTTCGACCCTTCTCTTATGATGGTCTCTGAAGCCATGTTCTCTACGCGAAAATGCTCGGCAAACTCCTTAGACACGGACAACTCTTCTTGCACTTGGCTTCTACTTGCCTTGGTAGAAATGAACCTTATTGAGCCAACTCTCAACGCCTCTTCAATCATGGGTTCGTCCTCTTCTCTGGACAACTCGATCTTGGGCTCATCCATCACCTTGGATGACTCAGCTCCCCTCGGCTAATTTTGCAACACTTCTGGCATCTTAAGTTTGCGCCCCCTCATTTACTCGACTCTTACCCTCGACTTAGCATCTTTGACACTCGAACTTGTGCCAAGACTGCACACATCTTCCCCAGACTCACCATCTGGTTCATCATTAAGTGGATTTTCTCTGCCACTCAAGGAACAATATTCCTCTTCCTCTGACTTGCCTTCATCACGGAATCTCTTGCCGCTACCGTCGGATTTCGGCTTTACTTTGGAAGTCTTGTTCTTCTTGACTCCAAAATCTTTGATGGACTCAGCGGTTGTCAAGGCTTTAGACAACTCCTTGACTTCCCTTCACTCCAACACTCTCTTCGCCCTTGGCTTCAATCCGAACATGAAGGTGAAGAATTCATCTTCTTCAGTCAAACTTGGGACTTTGAGCATGAGTTTTCTGAATCGACTCACATACTCCTTAAGTGTCCTTTTATGCCTGAGACGCCTCAACTTGGACCACGCCTCCATCCTAGCATACTATGAGCAGACTTTGCTTACTTTGCACCCTCGGCTTGACAACTTTATCTCTTGACATCACATCAAGTCCTTTATTGTGCTCGACTGCTTTGACACCTGCAGTCTCGTCACGTTTTCTTCTGGGTTCGGCTCCTTCAACATCAACAGCCTTGCCTCGTCTCGATCCTTGCTTGGCCGTATTGATCCCCTTAATCGGACCAAGTATTTTTCCTGGCTTGGTAGCTTTAATACTTGTGACCGCGTCAATTTCCGCTACTTCTCCTTCTCTCATCCTCTTCATGATGGTTGTAAGGCGACGCTTCTCGAAACATCCTCTGATCAAATGAGGACCATCACAGAAGTAACACTTAAGTTTTTCCTTGCTCACCTTCTTTTTTGCCCCGGACTTAGCCTTGTCATTCTTTCCCGATAGCATTCCTTGGCTACGAATAGTCGATGGCTCTCCTTGGCCATTTGAAGAGCTTTCTCTACCATCTCCCTGCTGCACATTTTCCCGGTCTCCTTCACTGTTGCCACTATCTCTGGGCATGGGTCTGGACGACACATCGCTACTTGGCTTGTCACCTACAAGTTCAGTCAGTTTTCCTGCTACAGCTATGGCCTCTAAAAGTCTTTGGGCATCTCCTTGCTCTCCCCTGAGGATCGCCCCTGGTTTAAATCATTCCAAGAAGGTCTTGAGCGCATCTTATTCACTCATTGCTCCCTTGCATATGAGCAGCTCCCTCTTTAGCTCATCAACATTGTTTCTCAATGCCATCGCTTCCACTCGAATCTGGCTTCTTTTGGATCGTTTCTAACAATTTTTGCGAATCATCGTGTATTAGAACACCTCCATCGACAAGCTCGTATCGCCGACCAAATTTCACTATTCACGTGAATTGTAACCTCATAGAAAAATTGACAAAATTCACAACCAAAAGCTCTGATACCAGTTGTTGGAAAATAAAATGAGAACGAGTAATTTTCCTATAACCAGATTAGTGAGAATGCGAAATAAAAGCGGAAAAATAATACCCGAAATTGATAACGGAGTTCAACCAATTATGTCTACGTCTCCGGACTACTGCAGATCTTTTACTGAAGAGAAAATTTACAGGTGTTTACAAAACACTCACTACTCACAAGAAAGTTCTCTAGTATTGGGAGAAAGAAATGATTTGGGATAATTTTGAAGCTAAATGAGTTAGGATATTTATAGTTGAAGCTTAAGGACTAATCTTGTAAATATTCTAAACTACAATGACTAAATGTGTGATTTTATCATTACCAAATTGTCAAAAAATTCAGCTTAATTTTGATAATTTGTTGCTGCCACCGAAAGTGGCCTCCAAAATCCACCGAAAATTCCCACCAATTTTGGCTTCCAAAATCCACCGAAAATTGGCCACCAATTTTAACTTTTCCATTGAATTTTCCAACACACAAGGCCTTGGTTTAAGCATCTTCACTTGTTCGAATACTTTCTGTTTCGTAAGAAAAAAATCAGGTATGGGTTTCATTTCCAAGAGTTTCATTCTCCTTGCTCTTTTATTTGCTCTTCTTCTTCTCATTATTTCGAAAGTAGCAGCTCGAGACCTTGATGAAACTACCACCGAAAAGAACAATGGTCAGCTTCATTTTATTGCATGAAATGAAATGAAATATACATATGAACAAGTGGTGTGGAACATTTTTATTTTAACATAAATGTTGAATATGATTATTGATTTTGCATTTGAGGTGACTACTGAAACAACCGAGGGTGGGCTAGAATATGGTAAGGAAGGGTACGAAGGATACGGTGGACGTGGAGGATACAGAGGGCGCGGTGGGAATGGAGGATACAGAGGACGCGACGGTGGATATCGTGGACGTGGTGGTTATGGAAGAGGTTGTGTCTATGGCTATTGCCGTTCTTACGGAAAAGGTTGCCAGAGGTGTTGCTCTTACGCCAGTGAGGCGGTTGATGTGGAAACTCACGCCGATCCTCACAATAAAATGCAGTCTTCTTGGAGTGCATGTATCTTAAATAAATAAATTGGCACATGTATATGTATATGTATATATATGTACAACAAATCCTACTGTTGGCTATGTCCTAAATTAAACTACTTTCTTACTAAAGAGGAAGTATAAATTAATAGAATTGTGCTTTTTCTTTATTCCTAATTGCGTGCTATATAAAGCGATGTTCTTTACGTACCATTTTTTATTGGCAAACAAAATTTTATTAATATGAATTTACTTGGTGTAACGCCTCATGAAAAACCCTCCTAAACCTAATGAGGGAAAAGAGTATAAAACACCAAGACACGAAAAAACACAACGAAGTGAGCAAAGACTGGACACAAACATAAAATTTGATACAATAGTCGACCAACTGAAAAACACATTGCACCAAACCAGACAGAAACATGCCACCTACACGCATAAAATTTAAACAAAGCATAACAAACAACTAGAGCATGCCAAAAATAAACAAAACAAACCGAAAAAATAGTACCCTTAAACTATGAACTTTGACCCAGAGGAGCAAATGCCATAACCGAGAAGCAACCGCCTAAGTGACTCCACTACCACCAAGCACATGTTTGAACAAGGAAAGAGCAAGTAACTTATCAATCATCACCAAACTTTAAACGATTCAGACCTAACTAAACCCAAGAAAGCCAGTCAGTCCACCAGTGACGACAAATTTGAGGACAATGAACTGAATTTGACATAATTCAAACAGCTTAATTTGACATCAATCTCTCTAAACATGAACTACAAAGATGTTGGGCAAGAGAGGGGGTTACTAATCCAAATCAAAGTAACTTTAGAGGGAGAGTCCACAACCAAGCACTTCATCTCCCAAAAATTGGTTTCTTCGACAATGGATAATGCTAACTTTATTGCAAGGACATCAGAACCACCAACGATATTGGCCAGTCCCGGGAAAGAGAAAATTACCCTTATTGCACCAGATGAGGATTTGAAAACCCCACTACAACCACTAAATCCCACCTTAACCACACTAGACACTGTGAAGATCCATACGTCTCCCCTTGAGAGATGCTTGTAACAAAAAGAAATAGCATGAGGAACAATGCAGAAACTCGGATTTGTCCACCACGCCTCCTCGATAATGAGAAGGTTACCTTTGATTGCCTTCAACTAAATCAAGGCACGAATCTTTGTAAAAAATAACAAATCCTCCACAGAGTTGCGTTTGCCTTCAAACACGTACTCATTACACCCTAACCAAATACTCCACAACACACCCACAAAGGCTACCAAGCATAATTGTTTTACCTTGCAATAGAGAGGAACTGTAAAAATCCAGTCAAACAAGCTATCAATATCATTCAAAACTCCCCGAGGTAAGTTCCACCACTTGGCGAAGGAGTTCCACAAACATCTTGAGAAATTGCAGCCCACAAAAAGGTGATCAACATCCTCCAAAACAATATCACACCAGAAACAAGAGCACTCAATCCCTTCCACTTTAATACCCTAGTTCTTGATGAAAACTTTTGTTGGCACTCTACAACTTTTCAACATCCAAAGGAATTTTTTACCTTTGGAGGGATGAGCAATTTCCATACCTTGTTAAAGTCAGAATCTGAATCCTCCACATTTGCATCAATAATTAGTTGGGATAATTTCTTAACTAAAAAATATTCATCTTTGTCATGTTTCCATACAATCCTATCATTTATGCCCTCCACCACCTTACAATCCTGGAATAACGCCTTCATAGTATCTACCATGGCCCATTCACGGTCAAGTAACGCTCTACTAAAAGCCGACGACCAACCAAAATCACCTGCATCCTCACCACCAATCACATCTGCCACAACAACTCGTTTCTCTCTTGCTAGCATGAAAATCATGACATTAATTAAAATGGATCATTTTTAAGGGTAAAAATTAAAAACTTATGTTCTCATTTTTAGATTTATGTTAAATTATTTATGAATCAAGTGATTTTGGTATTCAAGGAGTTGTTATTCTTTGAGGTCTCGGATTCGAGCATCATAAATTGTAGGGGTGTGAACGTTCTATGTCAAATGATTGAGAGTTATATCTTTGAATAGATATTGTTTTAAACTTATCATAGATTAATAAAAATAATAATTTTTAATACTTTTCACTCGAAGTACTACTACTTTGAGCTTGAAAATAAGTAAATGTATTATGCAACATATGTTAATTTAATGGAAGGACTCTTAAATATTAATGCCTCCTTTGGTTATATAAATATTAATATAAAAATTATTTATTACGTAAGCATAAAATAATTTATTTATTTATCTAAGCTCTCAATCGTATTGCATGCAGTTGAAATATATAAAATGGGACCGAGTAGAACATTTATATTCTATTTATTTCTAACATAAGATGGCGTGTATGGATATTGGTTTTGCAGGTGAGGTGGCTACTGAAACAACTGACGCTGAACTTGGAGATGACAAGAGGTACGGTTATGTTGGACGTGTAAGTTACGGTGGTGGACGTGGAGGATATGGTGGACATGGAGGTTACGAGGCGGCTGAGATGAACAATGAAGAGTGAGTGAAGGTGCTCCTCTGGTAATGCAGCCTTTTCAAATGGCACGTATCTAAAATAAAATGCTTCATACAGAGGAAGTATAAATTAATAAAATTATGCATTTATTTAGTCTTAATTTGCTTGGTATGGGAATGTTTCTTAATTTATTATCTCATGGAATTACTTAAATTGGACCCTAATTGTCAGCTCAAGATCAATGCATTGCTTAAACATAACAAATCAACTAATTCTTGAAACCAGTGCACCTCACCATCATCATCAACAAATAACCTCAACTACATCTCGTTAACAGTGAACATTGAAAATACCAAACAAGTATTCCACTCGTAATTCATAAACCTACAAAAATAGCAAAACCAGAAGGGGGAAAAACCCACTAAAGAACAGACGGTCGGTGACTTTTCGAGTGACGAGGTTTGGGTAGAAGTTTTGAACATAGTTGAAGAGGGGTTTCATCGGACGGTCAATTGTGGTGGATCAAAAGGTTTATGCATTTGACTTTGTTTTGATTACAAAGTAGTTGATGAACAAAGGAGTGTCAATGGCAGTAACAACATGGAACGTCCACTTGGACGTGAAGAAAGGTGGAGATTTTGAGAGGAAACTGATAAAAACGAAAGGAATGGAGAAAATTTTGAGGGCTATTTTTTTAGGCATAATGGTTTAAAAAAAAAACATTTAAAGCTTGTCACTTTTTTAAAATGCGACTTTAAAGTGTTTTTTATATAATTTTAACTATAATATTTTATTTAAAAAATATTTTTTAGACGATCAATTATATATTAATATTTTTCTGACATGGCATGATAACGTTAAGTACGTAATTAAAAAACCAAACAAATGCCAATAAAATTTTGTTATTATGTCATTTTTTACTCTACATTTATAATTTTATTTTGAATGTGCAAGATCATTTTATAATTTATTTGTTTATATAAACAATGTTATTCAAATGATACTACAATAAAATTTAAAGTAAAAGAAGCATGCTATTATAAATGAATAAATAAATATGATAGATGAGTGAAAACATATGGTTGAGATTAATAATAAAAAATGAGAAGATATTCACTAGAAAAAAAAATAATGATTTAATCTCAGACATCTATTTTCACTCATCCAACGGAATTAAATTTGTGTAATACTAAAAGAGTTTTACATTGTGTAAGTGAATCTTAACCTATAAAAAATCATGAATCATATTCTAATATTATTTCTATTTTATTTATTTTAATAACAAATATTTTTATTTTTAAATATTAATATATTATTAAACTTTCATAAATTTAAAACTAATAAATATTAGATTTTGTTTTACTTAATATTTGGATGAAAAAATATTTTATATAAAATTGTGGTTGTAGAAAATTATTAAGTGGTATATGGATGCATGGATTTAATTTTTTTTAAATAAAAACCTTGGAAATCGACTTGGCAACAATATATTAATGGAAAGATACAAATTTGAGTGAGGCCGAGCGTATTTTAGTTTATTGAAACTTTTACCATTATTCAGAAACAACATAACTTGATTGGGCCCCCTCAACTAATAACCAACCCACAGCCATAGTAATATTAAACTGTTTCCTTAATGCAGAAGAAGAATAAATTAATAAAATTATGCTTTTCTCATTCCCTAATTTCTTCCTATAGCCATTCTTCTTACATATTAAAATTATGCTAATTTCTTCCTTAATGCAGAACATTGAAATACAAAGCAATGCATTTGCTTTTAGAAAGTTTGAATGGGTTTTAACTGCAGCTTTTTATTAAATACATGCATGTCTTTAAATATTTAAAACAAATTATTAAATGCAAAATCTAATATTATAAAATTATATTTTTAAAAAATGCGTACAAAGAAACGGGGATATGTAATGTTTTTATAACCTTTGTTTTAACATATTCTAACTTGAATAATCGTAAATAATAACAAATAATAAAAAGTTTGATAAATTATGGCATAATATAAATATTTAATGAATGCATAAATACTTTTCAAATGAATTATTATGGTTAAATATATACAAATAATATAAACATGACACATACACGTAATTAATCATACTTTTACACAGTAATTCTAACATGAAAATGATGAAAAAAAATAACACAAGCAAAACACATAAAGACCTCACAATATGAAGGGGGAAAAACCTAAACAAAATAAACTTTAAAAATATAAAATAAATTAAGATAACAATTATAAGAAAAAAGAACATAAATATAGCACAACTATATAAATGTACTAAAATCACATAATACAATTCATTAATTATAGATATATGTGAATATAAAGTTATTTATTATGAAAAAAGATATCTTTTACTATGATTGATAAAGGGCGAATAAAATTCAATTTGATTTGAAAAATTATGTCGATTCGAGTTTTATACATTCCGTTTTACTCAAAAAAAAATTAATGTTAACATATGACTCTTCAACTTGACTAACTCAAAAAATATAACTCGAATAAACTCGATTAACTTAAATAATCATCCCTAATTCCTACTACCCTTAATTCCTCTATTATTTTAAGTTCATTTTGACCAAATTTAAATCACACATTCCTCTAACACTACATAATATCTATATATCTTCAATTTTATTTTTAACAACAAATTTACTCTTTTTATAATCTAGTCTATCAATTTTTATATTATTCAATTTGATTTTTTATTGTAATTTTTTTATAAGTTCTTTCTTCTTATAAGTTCTTAGATTCCTCTTCCATATTTTTCCTTAATAGTACATTCTTTAAAAAAATACGAGTATATTTTATAATTGTAGATGAGATTTGATTTATTAAACAATGCTACAATGTGAAAAAAATATGAAGATATATATATATATATATATGGTTAAAGAAAATAATTAAATTGAATCAATTTACAAAATAACATTGTAAATATTTACAATTAAATTTGAACATAAACTCAAAAACTCGACTCGACTCGACTCAAATTTTATAGACTCAACTCGACTAAAAAATGTCAAATAAAATTTGAATCCTAAAATAAGACTCATCAATTCGACTAACTGAAAATTATTTCACTTAACTCGTTCGAATACTCACCATGCCTATTATATATTTTATCTTAATATTAGTTGTCTATAAATAGAGATAGAGAATGCCTTATTTTAAGCATCTCACCTTCTTCAAGTACTCTGTGTATCATAAGAAAGAAATCAATTATGGGTTCCATTCCAAAGAGTTTCCTTCTCCTTGCTCTTATTTATATCAGCCGTTGTTCTTCTCATTGCTTCGGAAGTGGCAGCTCAAACTACCACTGAAATGGACAACGGTCAGCAACTACCATAGCTTCTTATTTATTTATTTATCTAAGCTCTCAATCGTATTGCGTGCAGTTGAAATATATAATATGGGACACAGTAGAACATTTATATTCTATTTATTTCTAACATAAATTGGCGTATATGGATTTGGTTTTGCAGGTGATGTGGCTACTGAAACAACTGACGCTGAGCTTGGAGATGACAAGAGGTACGGTTACGGTGGACATGGAAGTTACAGTGGTGGACGTGGAAGTAACGGTGGTGGCCATGGAGGGTACAAAGGTGGACATGGAGGGTACAAAGGTGGACATGGAGGGTACAAAGGTGGACATGGAGGGTACAAAGGTGGACATGGAGGGTACAAAGGTGGACATGGAGGATACAAAGTTGGCCATGGAGGGTACAAAGGTGGAGAGCAGAACGAGGCTGCTGTGATGAACAACGAAGATTGAGTGAAGGCGCTCTCTTATGCTGCTAATGTAGCCTTTGCAAATGCCAAGTATCTAAAATAAATTGGCTTAGTAAATCCTGGAATTTGCTACGTCCTGAAATAAAATTATGTTTTTCTTTAGTCTTAATTTACTTGCTATGGGAATGTTCCTTAATTTATTATCTCCTGGAATTACCATAAAGGGAGAGCAGTAAATAGTAAATACAACAGCAGCTCACAGTCGAAATCCACATCACACCAAAACAAATCAAAGTCATTTGATCACAAAACAATCAGCTCACCCACTACAAGTATGAGTAAAACTTGAATCAATTTAAATATTTTTAATTTTAAGTTATTTGAATCAAAATAAATTATTAAGTTAATTTTCAAGTTTGAGTCAAATTTAAATTTCAAAAATTTGAATAATTCGAAAAATCAAAAATTTGGATAATATTTTAACATAATTACAATTTGGTCTTTAATTTCTTATTCTTCTTATTCATCCTTAATTTTAAGTTAATTTTTTTATCAAATTTGAACCACGTGCTCCTAGACCATCATATAATCAGTACTTTTGATTCCGCTTTTTTAATATTAAATTTTATATTTTCAATTTAGTCCTTCGACTTTGCATGCTTTATTTAGTTCTTAATTTATCCTTCATTTTAAGTACATTTTTGACCAAATTTGAACTACATGTTTTCTTAAATAGGGATGTGCAAATTTAGATATCAGAGTCGATCCGATCCAAAAATTTCGAATACCTACAATAGTGATCCGCATCCGATCTAAAAAAATCAGATACCTTAATTTCTGGATCGGATATATGGATATCCAGATCCGAATAATGTAACTTATTTGATAACTCTATTGTATTTTATATATATTTAATTACTCACACACTATAAGTAATTAAATATCATAATTTTTATTGGATTAGAGCTTTAATGGGTTATTGTGTTACTCATTTATTGGGTTAAATACTATTTAAAATCTAAAAGCCCATTTTTGGATTTTCAGATAATCCAAAATTGGAATTTATACGTACCGCATCTGATCTAATTATCCGAATTTTTTTTGATATATGATCTTAATTATCTGAAAATCAAAAAATGAATCGAATAATCGAATTTTCGGATCAAATCTCTTCGCACACCACTACTCCTACCATTATAGAATACCTATGTAACTTCAATTCCTATTTTCTTTTTTATAAAAATATTATTATTCAATTTAGTCCTTTAACTTGCATTTTACTCAATTTAATCTTTTGACTACATTGTTTGCAATTTTTTTTCTTTTGACTCCTTTATACTCCTATCAATCTTTTACTCTCAAAAACCTAATTGAAATATAATATTATAAGTAGAAAACAAATTGTGTTAAGCTCAAATCTTCACTGTTAGAATCAAAATGGACCTAATATTTTTACATTTAATTTTTAAGGTTTGTATTTTTTGTTAATGGCGTCTCGCGTTTTTGAAAAACCTTGAAATTTGAACGAGTAAATCGATGCTTTAAACATGTATGGGTAAGTTAGAGACGAAAATAGAGACGTTTACAATATAGAGGTGGTTTAAGCTTAATACAAAAGCAGCAGCATACGAGAACAGTGCAAGTGACACACATATCCATTCCGAAGCTGCTGCCCAAGCCCAACCATCTGATCTGCTTTCTCATCCTACATTCACTCTTTATCTTTGTCTCTACATAAGAATTGCATAATCCCTTCAATTTGATTATAGGGTAATGTGTTTGATTGAATCATTATTCATTCTGAGATGAGTTTGCTTTTTTTTTTTTTTTTTTTGTAAACAAGTTTGCTTCAAACGTGGAAGTGTAGGAGAACGGCAATGGTGAATACAATAAAGAAATAAGCATTGGACTTTCTTGTTTATGCTTAACAAGTGGGGACACACCTGACCGCCTTCATTTTTCCTTTTCTTGGTGGAAGCCATCGCCGATTTCATAAAACATTACAATTGTTCATTTATCATAAAAGCCTGCATTTTAAGAAAAATGATATCCACCCCAAATTATTTATTCAAATACGATGGATGAACTTTAAAGTGTTTTACAATTTTTTTTTACGAATGTCAAAACATTAAGTGTTAAAATCATCACACATTTTATTCATTTATTTTCAACCTCTTGTTTTTTTAGAAATAAATTGACAAATTTCCTTCTTCTAAGACATTATTTTCTTTTGAACCAACATCTAAAATTATTTTTAAAGCATACAATGGAAATTTATATTTTTTTAACAGAAAAACTTGATCTTTATGTTTTTGGAGTCGGTGGTTAACAGATACTACGTGTTATGAAGAGGAACGCAACGTTAGAGCTTTCATTTTCTTAGGGCCCATGGATTTGCCAGCTCAGCTCCTCACAACGTCCAACAATCATTTCTACAGTTTTTATGTATCCTTTTTGTATGTCAACATTGCAGTGCCCCATCATAGTTTTGTAATAAAAAACTTTTTTGGAAAATGAGAAAATATGAACAAGGGTTAATTTAATTTTCATAAATTCCGGAATTACATATTTATTTTTAAAATAATTTTAATTTCAATCATTAAAATTAGAGTATTTTAAAATAAATTGTTAAACTTATAAAGAGCAGGGACAGTTTTGTCCATAAAAAAGATGGATTTATTTTGAATGCTAAAGTCTAAACCTACCCACCGCATGCACATCATGTCTTTCCAGATTCAAAGCCCCGGTTAACGCTCCATTTATTTATTTATTTTAAAGTATAAAATCAAATAGTTTATTTTCTCTATTTTTTTAAATAATTTTTACGGACAGAGAAAAAATTTTTGCTCTAAAGTCATATTAAAAAAATATCAATTAATAATTTTTAATCACTTATGTTATAGATTGTTTATTAGAACTTATTTTCTCTTTGTTATCAAGAGATCAGTTGGAGTATATGTATAATTGAGAAGGTGAGTTGAAGGAAGGTTACTCCCACCTCATTGTTATCCTAAATTTTCTACGTATATTTCCCCCCCAAGCTTTAGTGTGAAATTATTTAAACAAAATCTTTTTTCTGGATTTTATTTTCGTTTATTATTATTATTATTTATGTTAAAACTTTCTCATTTCTGGGTTTTTTAAATAATTTCATTTTGTTTATTGAAAGGATCTTCCTGTCATATGATCCAAAGGTTAGAGTTTTTGTCTGTCTTGCTTGTAAACTCATCCTCTTATTTTCTTTACATAAAACCCACTCTCAAGACTCGGCTTTTCTTCAAATCTCCAAACCTGCGAGCTTCAAAAGATTGACCCTTTCATGGTTCAAAGCTTGTAGCTTCCTCTCATTTCTTGACAAAACCCCTAATTAACCCTTTCATTCTTATTCTCTTGATCTATCAAAAACGGGAAAAAAAATGTTCAGTACCCAAAGCAAAACCGACCTTGCTTTGGAATTGCAAACACAGTTTCCAATCTTAAGGCCAAGCATCCATTCAAGAAGGGCTAATCTCACGGTGAAATTCCAAGACCTTTATGGGTTTACAGTTGAAGGCAATGTGGATGATGTTAATGTGTTGAATGAGGTAAGAGAAAAAGTAAGGCAACAGGGTCGAGTTTGGTGGGCACTTGAAGCAAGCAAAGGAGCCAATTGGTATTTGCAGCCACAAGTTTCTTCAATATCTCAAGCTATTGTGTTGAAATCGTCACTGAAATTGTCGGCTTTGGCTAATTCTATTACACTGAAGAAGCTTATTAGGAAAGGTATTCCCCCTGTACTTAGGCCTAAGGTTTGGTTTTCGCTTTCTGGTGCTGCCAAGAAGAAGTCTACGGTGCCTGAAAGTTATTATAATGATTTGACGAAGGCAGTAGATGGTAAGGTCACACATGCTACAAGACAGATCGATCATGTAAGTTCTTACATTAATGTTTATTTTGCATTTGCTTGATGAATTTTGTTGTTTTTATTTTCCTTCCTACTTTTGATTGAATATTTGTTTAGATTGACATCTTTTTCATTTGATGTCTGTCTTGTAGTTTTCTAGAGATTTGGTTTAGTTTGCATAATGAATTTGGAATTGAAACTACATATCTGATGATTGACCTGCATACAAGGATGGTTTCATAAGTTAACATTGGGTTTTTGGAATGTAATTCACTTGATCATCTCTTCTATTGGTGAAGTTCACAGTGCTCTTTTCTTTTAGGCAGGAGCCTGTGAATTTTCTTGCTTATATGTGTACTTGGCAAGGTTTTGTTCTGTCATTTGAATCGATTGAATCAGAAATAGAAGAATTGACCAGTGTATCTTTGAAATGTACTTGTGAAAATTACAATGAATGTGATGGTTGTGATTGTCCGGCATGAAATTGTTGATTGATATAATCTGGAATTGTGACTTTTGAGAAATATGGTTTGAGCATTTCTTTTATATACTTGCAGGACCTTCCACGAACCTTCCCCGGTCATCCATGGTTGGACACTCCAGAGGGCCATGCTGCTCTCCGGCGGGTGCTTGTGGGGTATTCTTTTCGCGAATCTGATGTAGGCTACTTTCAGGTGAGTTTATCAAGAATATCACTTGTCGTTCAGCATTTTCTCAGCTTCTAGTACCATTGGCGTAGAAAGGTTGTGCTACAAAAACATACTGCACTTCTTTATTTTTGACTAAATAATTCACCATTTTCTATTGAAGTTAACATGGCAATACTAGCTTATGGCTTCAACAATTTTAAGATGTCCATTTTATTCAATTCTGTTTTTTGATTGTGGCAACAAAACTAGTCCGGTGTCATGTTTCTTGCTTACCTTTGCTTTTACCGAGTCACCAAAATTTATATGTTCTTGGTGTAGGGCCTAAATTATGTTGCTGCACTGCTATTGCTCGTTATGAAAACGGAGGAAGATGCATTTTGGATGCTTGCCGTCCTCCTCGAGAATGTTTTAGTTAATGACTGCTATACAAATAACTTATCTGGATGCCATGTTGAGCAAAGGGTTTTTAAAGATTTGCTTGCCAAGAAGTGCCCGAGGTAGTTGAGGATTAAACTATTTTAATTTTATTTATTTGTTTATCCTTTTCTTTATGTAAAGTAATATGTTTAAGCTATACGTTAAAGTCAAAGTTTATCTCATTAAAAATCGGATCACAAAATACAGGATTGCTGCTCATTTGGAAGCATTGGAATTTGATGTCTCCCTCGTCGCTACCGAGTGGTTCCTTTGCCTCTTTTCTAAAAGCTTGCCTTCAGAGGTTTGAATGATATTTCATTACCATTTACGTCCTGCTGGCATCTCACATATGCCGCTTCTATTCGAAGTTGTTTTCTGACTATATTATTCTTTTTCCTCTTCGTTGGGCTATTTGTCCAGACAACTCTGCGGGTGTGGGATGTCCTTTTCTACGAGGGGGCAAAGGTTCTTTTTCATGTGGCATTGGCTATATTTAAGGTACCAATCTCATCACCATTTCATTCTTCACATCAGGAATTTTCTTTGACGTGTTTTCCTACAAATCGTTAAGTTAGTTTAAGTTTTGATCGGTTTTGCAGATGAAGGAAGATGAGTTGCTTGTAACACATCAGGTTGGCGATGTTATTAATATTTTACAGAGAACGACTCATCACCTTTTCGATCCTGATGAGCTATTGACAGTAAGACAATTCATCATTTGTTTTTCCTGTTTTTTTCCCCCTCATAACATTCCATTCTTCTTCCTCATTATCCATAGGAAAATCAGACCTAGTTCCGGTCAGACAAGAAAGGAGATCATTTCTATTTGTTTTACCATGACATTTCAATAAATTGACCCATGGAGTTAAACATAATTTGGCAATCTAAATATGTTTGCTTTCCCATGACATGGACCTTGTTGATCTCTTTAGGTTGCATTTGATCAGATCGGTTTTATGACGACAAACACCATATCAAAGCAAAGGAAAAAGCAAGAACCAGAAGTAATGAAAGATCTTGATCAGAGACTAAGAAGACTGAACTCTCTCAGAACTGATGATAAATAACAGTTTCTTGAATGTGAAGAATCTAGTCGTAAGTCGAAGGATATGGAATTAATACTATTGTGTCCTCACTGCCAAAGACCAGGTAAAATGTAGCTTTTGTAACCCATAGGCAGTTTTAAACAGTTTAAGTTACTTTGCTAATGAATTCAGTGTTGTTTTTCTCTGCCCCTAATGACCTTGTGATCGAAATCAATTTGTTTTCCACATTTGAAAGGTTGAAGAAGAATATATTTTTACAACCATATCGAAAATAGGAGAAATACAGACTACTACAGAGAATTGAATGAAGGCTAATGTTATATAATGTGCATTATTCAAGCATAATCAACGCAATCCAAAGAATATTAAATTTATATCTCATTTCTTTGTCTCTTGTCCTGTGGTCTACAAAAAACAATGAGCCAGAACTGGACTAGGCACTCCAGCTCTGGTTCTTTCGAGCAAAAAAAAAAGGGAAAATGAATTAGAAAGCTCCCTATGGTTATTTATTTCATTAACATCCTATTCTTCAGCCTTTGATGACTCTGAAACCGAATCATCCACAGCCAAATCGGACATTTCACCAGAGGGTGCAGTCTCGCCTTCTATTGGCGGCTTGGATAACTCATCCAGACCATCACCATTTCCCTCTGCTACCTGCTTCTGCAGGCTCCAGTACATGATGCTGGCAGTCAAAGTAAGCATCATTTCTGGTTCACCTGTTAATGACAAACATTAAGGTTACAAGTTGCATTAAAAAAAGTAATGCCGGATTTAACCCGGTTCAGGCATGAATTAGTCAGTTTAGCTCAGTAGCATTCATCTCAACAGGTTGCTAACCAAAAAAAAAGGAACCCAAAACTATTAACAAGAACAACAGACATGAGATTTGTCTAGGTTACTGACATTGTTCTAAATATTCTGTTCCTCTTATGAAACATGACGATCTAACATAATGAGATATCAAAACAGTGGAAAACTAAACATCATGTTGACCAACCCACAAGCAAAAAAACAGACCCATGATATGGCATATCATCTATAATTTAAAATCAGAGAAGATATAGAGGGGATTATGAATATTAATTTAGGAAATATATACCTGTATGACATCCTCAGGTAACAAGAAAATAGAGCATCCAAGCTTCCGTGCAACACTGATTATATAAGTAGCATTCATCTTCTTTTCTTCGTCTGCAAGGTGATGACAATAAACCAACACTTATATTGGTTATGGTATAGTCTATTTATTCGTAAGAGTGAGACATGAACATAGTTTCCCACATAAAGTTCATCAACTTCCCCCAACAAAAAGCGAAGCGAAGCCATGGCAGGTTATTTATATTGCAGAAGTGTCGTATAACATAACGGTCGACTGAGTTGCAAAGGAAAGGGACGAATTAATATAATAATGAAATAACACCATACCAGTTTCTCCCTTGGTAACAATACCCCAGTTAACAACCCTCGGTTCCACTGCACTAAGCAGCTCGAGGAAGAATTTTCCATTGGAAAGGCTTTTATCCTAAGAGCAATAGTCCAGTAAAAACCAGTGTGTCAGTCTGTGCTACGATCAAAATATTAAGACAAGGTTTTCGCTTTGTTTCTTATATACCTTGAAGCTCTCCATTTGACATTTTCGACCTGCCTGCTTTACTTTTTTGTTAGCCCAGTTCAGAATGTCGGCGTCGGTAATTTCTTTTGCTCTCAAGTTTTTAAGGAGTTGTAGCATAGAAAACCTCATCAGTTGCCACAAAAATGCTGAAATTGAGGTCAACAAAACAAGAAAATGAGAATACTAAAGTCTTACAGAAGAAAATAGAATCCTCAACTTTAACGAAGAAAGAGAAGAATGGAAGCCGGAAGATATTACCTAGTATAAGTTTTTTGTTTCCAGCCACAATATCATTGCCAGCTACGTTGACGAGTGATAAGTTCAACTCCTTGCCAATCCGTACTATTTGATTGCAATTCTCAACCTGTTTAAATGGCATCTTATAGGAGGCTTATTCGCAAGCTTCCAGTTAACCGATCCAGGGTAAATTTTCTCCATAACCTCCAACAGAGTCCATCTGCAGCCAGAAAAGGATGAATACCAAAGAAGATTTGAGGACCAGTTGATACTGCTGGGAGATCCCATATTTGAGAAGAGAAAATAGCTCGTTACCCGTTTTTTACATCTTCGTAAACATTGTTGACATACGAATCAATACCAATACTGTTCATCCAAAAGCGAAAGCATCTCTCTTCACGTGATGTTTCTGCATCATCAGTCATCATCTCAGCAAAGGTCGACGTTTTGCTGTCTGATAAGCCATTCCTGCAGGATATATCATATGCTAGTTAAATATTTTATACAATCATATGTCCCCTAGGGAACATGCCAGTGCTTAGAGCTTGAGATTTCAACTTAGAGGTCTCCGGATTGAATATTGAGATAGGATGGCTGTGATTCATGGGCTGGGAGAGGGCTATCTGATGTTCGTTTTAAACCAAGATCACATGTAAGAAATAAACATTGTACACGTGTGTGAGTAAGCTTTTCCGACAACATATAAGAAATAAACCAGACTGTGGAAACCTAGTTCAGACTTAAGGCAAAAAAAAACATTGTTTCTCACCTATGCTGGAATATTTGTGCAACAAATGCAAGATTGAGATTTGCTGAGCCCTCAACAATATCCTTAGGAGTGATATATCTTTGGCAGTCCAATTTTTCTGCTAGCTCAAGAACTTTGTTTGCTCTTTCTGTTGGATCCTCTGTCTCCAAAGTTTCACGTGTACTATGTTCGGGAGCAAGTGCATTAAGAAGATGTGCATATGCCTCTCCATCCTACAAATATATAGGTTTATAATACATCATTCACTCTAGAAAACTGAAAATGGTAGACGGGAGGCAATATATACACTTCACACAATAGGAACTATGGACCGGGAATCAAATCCTTTTCCATAGGAGGAGGTCTAAAGTTTAAGACAATGAGATCCTTAAACATCCTGCATTTGTTTCACCCGTTCATGGAACTTGAGGCCCAAATCTAAAGATTAATACAACAGTGAAACCCATGATAATAAATATATTTTGTATATAAAATTGACATTACACAATTAGGATTAATCGAAATCAATGAGTTTTCCCACCTTCAAATCTGTAGTGAAGTTTGTAACCTGCTTCTGATATCCAGCTTTCTTCAAATGAAAATTCATCCATTTCAGTAAAACCTTCTCAGGTCCTAAAGTCATAAGCTCCTCCACCTCCTACAAAATTTATACCCAAGGTTAACATAATCTGTTTCCAACCTGCAAAACGGATATTATCCAGAATCTGATATCATCACAAAGAAGGCATAACCAATTAACATTCTCCAACCTTGCTGTCATTCACCAGTTCCACAAGTTGAGGAGTTTTCTTCAAATTGAGGTCGGCTAGTAGTTGAATCTGATCTCACAACCATGTAAACATTACTAGCAATATAACAAAAAATATGTATCCCTTGAAACATTGATGGTTGAAGGAAATGGATACAATTAGTATGGCTTCAATGATTCGAGAATTACAAAGACAAAAATTAAATGAGTTTAAAGGAAGTTCCTGATGAATACCTTAATAATTTGAGATATCAATCCGAGTATCAGATGAGGCTATAAGGGGGCAAAAAGAAGAAGATTGGAAAAGATCAAATATTGTACAAGTTAGATTAAAAAGCAAGTATAACACCTAAATTGGTATTAGAAAAGGAGAATCACTTACTCTTCCTTCAACAAGGTCTTGTGTGCCAATATTAACCACGGTGCAACCAATAGCTTTTGCAGAATTAAGACAAAGAGTATGATTCTCATTCCTCTCCCAGGGATTAAGAACCTTTTTTGTGTTGATAGCTCGCTCATCTATGGTCCCAGGAACAGCTATATTGATAAGCTTGCTGCATGAAAGCAACTAAAGGCGTCAACAAACATCAAACAATGATTCGATAACGACTAATGCAAAGGAAAGTAGGTTCAGTGAACCAACCAAAGAAGAACTCCATCTTTTGCAAGCTCAAATAACGCGTCTGTGGCTGGATCAATTGGAAGATAATCTTTCAAGAATTTATCTTCTGCCAGATAGTGATTGATATGTTGCACATAAGAAGATTTCTCAGATTCATTAATAGCATGGTGAAAAGTGGTTGTGGTTGACTTGATAAATGAAGATCTAGTCCCGCCTGATTTTTCGATTGCACGACCTTGCAAAGTTAAATAAGCCTGACAATTCACCAAATCCAAGCGTTGCCTCTAAGCAAGATATAAGGATAAAATATGTGCAAAAAAGAACAGGGGTACCGTATCACAAGCATCAGGAAACATTAATCCACAACATTTCACATATTGAATAATTAGCAATGACATACAGGAAAAGCACATCAGATGCTATATCAAAAAGCCTTACTCGAAGAAAGGCCTCAAAATCAATGTCCTCGCCCATGTCACTGTGTGCCTCTTCCAAGGTAGTCTTAATCTCATCCTCACTGAAAATTTCACTGAAAGCCTTCAAACCGGCATAAACTGGTGGCAGCTCAGCCAGAGTAACACGGCCCTCTTGAGTCCTCGCAGAGAGAAACTAAAAGCAACAAAAAAGCAATCCAAGTTCCATGTCAAACAAAGATTTCCAATACACCGTATAATCTTGTAAAATAAGATAACCTACAATTTGTTATTTTTGCTAGTTGCAACAGAAAAAATGCGAACTTTGAAGAATTAGGAATCAAAATTGTAATCTTTTAGAACAAGATACATGGTTTCACTATCATACAAACCAATTATGTAAAGAATTGACCTTACATGACAAAAAAAACGAAGACGAAGACGAAAGGAAAAGAAAGGAAAAGGTTACCTTGGATTTGAGGGTTCGGAGCTCGACTTGAGTGAACTGACTTTGAAGCCATTGATCAGAGACAAGCACTCCTTGATAACTAGACATGGTTTGCCTTGTGTTTTACACCAAATTCTAAGACCTACCTACACACCAAAACAAACAATATTTACGTCCATATTGCATACTAAAAGCCAATGGAAATTCAACAAAACCAGATCCAACAAATGCAGAAATCAAAAGAAACCCGATAGAAAAAGAAGAAGAAAAAACCGACGTGCATGCATACACTAACTGAATAGGAAAATGAAACGATCAACCTTTCTATATGAAAAAAAAGACATGATATATATCGGAACACCCATGTAAGGAAACGAATGCAAAAGACAGAGGAAGAAGGAAGGAAACCAAACCTTAAGAGAAACTAAGATCGAAGGGTGGTTTCCTCCATTTTTAGTGTTTGGTTGGTTTGTGGTGGGTATGGGAGTTGTAAGAGAGAGAGGTGTGTTTGAATGGGTGAAGGGAAATGAGGATGAGAGAAAAGCGTGAAGCCCCTTAGTCCTCAGATATCCCGCGAACACTGCCGATTCCAAATGTGGATAGGACAGAGTGGGAGAGAGAACGATAAATAATAATATGGCTTTCATTTTATTAAACAAATGAGTTGTTAGCCCCACATTGCAAAGTTTCAATTAAGCATATACCCAGAGAAGGGAACATGATGACGGATGCTTTGGCCAAATTTACATAGTGAGAGTTGTAAGAATTCTCCCAGATGTGATTTTTATTAAATAGAATAAACTCCAATGTAAACTAAGAAAATAGGGTATACAAACAGTCCTTTTAAAAAAACAAACATGCTTTTTTAATAAATATGAATTAAACTAATTCCTTATATTTTAAAAATGAGTAATAAGGTCTCTGACGTTACCTACTTTTAGTTTTATCTGGCGTGGCACATTAATTCCGTTAAACCCCCTGCCCGGTCTTATTCTTCTTCTTCTTCACAGATGAAACATGTCTCTTGAAGCTCACAAACCAAGAAAACAAAAGAAAGGCTTTTTGAAAAAAATTTACTCTTCTCTCTTTTCATGTTCTTCAACAGCTACTGCTATAGTATACTATACTTTATACACCTTATCAATGAATACGCACAGTTTGCATAGAGGAACGGGGGATTTCAGCTCTCGAGGAAGGACGAGCAAGAAAGTGCCTCGCCCAAGCAATTGCAATGCTGAAAGTTTCATCCACAGATTTGCAGGTGTGATTAAAAACAAAGTCATTTCTGCGTTTCCATAATTGCCAAAGTAAAGATTTAAGGTTCTAAATTGGAAGTCATCACAGAGGTTAAGATTTTGATAAATAGAATGGTTATTAGTCAATTCTAACGATGAAAAGGCTCCTTTCGATAAAAAAAAAAAAAAAGTAACATAGTTCAATTTTAAATTGATTTATCAGTTGAAAATAACATATCAAAAAGTTAAAAAAAATTATAGTAATATTTAAGCAACTAACCAGAGATTCGTGCAAAACGCCATTTAAATTCAAATAGTAATAATAACAGAACAATTCCCCTGCTTCTTAACGCATAATCTTAATAACATAAAAAAATGGTTATAAAAATCAATGTAAATTGAGAAACTATGAACATAAATTACACTCAATCAAGTCTGTATCTTAGGAAAGCAGAATCAACCCACCGAAGACTGTCAAAACCAGCTGACTCCAAACGCTCAACCTCAACTCCACAATCCCATGAGAAGATGAACTCGAAGGCAAAGACTTGGACGAAGAACCGCCTTCTTTCGAATCCGCAGCAAGGCTAACATCAGGAGCTGGAGCTGGAGCTGGAGCTGGTGCAGGCATCGGAGGTACATCAGTACCGAAGATAGCCTCAGGAAGAAGTACCCTATCCACCTGATATATAGCGACAGGATCGGTGGAATGTACAGCGCTGGTGACTTTGGTTTTGCTCCATCCCGAATCGAGGTGGACCGTGCCGGAGTTGTCGGTGAAATTCAAAGTGTATTGGCCACCAGCAAGTGTGCTGACAGGACCCTTTGAACTGAGCTCATTGAAGTCCGCAAGGGCGTAGTATTTGGGCAAGGCATGGAAAAGGATGAGAGATTTGAGCTGGTCGTCACTGAGATTGGACAACGTTGGCTTCTTAAGACCCTTGAATGAATTGTCTTTGGGTACGAAAACGGTAATGCCTTGTTCGGTGTTGTTGGCTTGGTTTTGGAAGGTGTCAATGACTTTAGTTGATTCGAGGTAATTAAGGAATGTGTGAAATGGACCAGCCACAGAGAGTAAGTAAGTGAGGTTAACGTATTCCGGTGCCGGTGCCGGTGCTGGTGTCGGAGTCGGGGCCATTGCAACCGGAGCCGGAGGACTAGCTTTTTGCCCATATGTCAACGAGGAGCAAAGGAGCAATGCAGAACAGATAATAAAAAAAGTCCTGGGAAACTGCATTTTTTCCCCTGAAATTCCTACAATAATTAAATTCTTCACAGTTAATGGCTAATGCAGCTAAATGGCGAAAAAAAAAACAATAAATCTACAGTATGAACAAAAATGTATAAAATTCCCTAAGATCAAAAGCCCATTTCACTTAAATATGGAACCAACTTGAAATAATGCAGCTTTAACATAAGCAATAGAAGAAAAACATACAAATGAAGAACAAAAACCTGACAAAAGAGGAATTCAGAGAGAAGGCTCAGAGCTTTGGAATTTGGATGCCAATGCCGCAGATTGGAACTAGCTGAGAGAGACTATATAAAGAAGACATAAACCCACACCAGAAAGTTAAAAGGAAGACAAAGTGGATGTGGTCCTGTGGCTATGATGATGGCATGCATCAGCTGTTCTATTTAAAATGGGTAAACTCTCAAAATGCTCACTTTTATTTTATAAATGTTTAATTTTGGTCTCTATTATGTTAAATACTGTTTTTGTCACTTATATAATCAATTTGTAAATCAAATATTATTTTTTTCAGTGTTTCAAAATTATTGTCATTCTATGTTTCAAAACAAATTAATATTCTATTGTTTTTAGTTAAAAGCTTACATATTTGCTTCAAAACTAAATGCATAATCATTAAATCAATTAATGTTACAATATAATAAGTAATTTACTCTTATTATAAACTATTTTAGTCCATGTTTTATCGATTCATACAGTTAATTTAATGAAATAGATGTTGGATTTGCGTTCACGAAATTGAAAAGAGACGATGGCCTCATTTAATATCGCTTTGGTATGGGATTTTGTGTGTTTTATATTTTTTACAAATTTTAAATCTAATCATAGTCCTATCTAGGGAGAAGAAATGGGAGAGAAAAAATATAGTATTTTTAGTGGATCTAAAACATATAACTTAAGAGAACGTGAGGAAATAAAGGTGAATAGTTTAATCAACCGATTAAATGTATTTACTCAAGATTTTGCGGTTAAAATTTATGATTTATTGTAAAATATTTTTTACTAATACTGTAGAATACTATTAAATAGGATACATAATTTTAATTTATAATTAAATTTATGTTTTGATCATCTAAAAATTAAAGAAAATAATTTTACCCTTCCGTGCTTTCTTTTGAAAACATATCAATTTATTTTAAAGACATCGGATGTAAGTAGTTATATCTACAAAGTATATGTTGTTAATAATTAAAAAAACTAAAAATATATTATCTTATAATTATCCTAAACTATTAAAAAATTATTGGTTATGAACTTTTATAACTAAATTCGTAAATTAAATTAAGTGTATATTTTTATTTTTTAAATATATTTATAATAATATCAAGTTTAAATCAAAACTTAAACATATTTAACTTTTTAAAATTACAGTATAATTCGTTAATATAACAATAATGATAAATATCATCTATCAAGTATTTAACGATATTATGTTTTTAAGGTCTCGAACCTAAGATTTTAATTAAATTAGAACAATCTATATAGGAATGGCAGTGGGTTGTATATCTATGATTTTTAATTATCTGAATCTAAATATGTAAATTCATCTAAAATTTTGAATTTATTTTTATTTGTAAATTATTTGAGTATTATTATTTGAATCCTAACATGAATTAATTATATTATCTGCCATGCATCTGAACTTGCAAAAATAAAATTGAATTTAATATTTTAAATCACATATCTAATATTCAAATTCATACAAATTCAAACCAAAATATATTAAAAGTTAGATAACCAAAGTTTGAATCCCTTAAAAAGTAAATATATTTTCTATTTTGTAAATTAAAATCGATTTTTGATATCCAAATCTATAATTCACATAAGTAATGTAAATTGGTATAATGAATATAAAAAAATATTTATATTTATTTAATCTAGACTTGTTTTGAATAATAATTTTAACATTCAAATTGTAAAAACAAAAAAAAAGTCAAATATCCATCAGCATGTACAAATACAATCCAAACTAACATTCTCCAAATGCTTAGTGGTTCTAAGACAATTTAATTACATAGACTAATACATTCTCCAAATGCTTTATTGTTTTGATAGGGTGTGGATTAAATGAGAATGGGGAATGATCACGTGTTGTAACCTTAATATACGGTTAAAAAAATGTTTTATCAATTTTGTTATTATTTAAATAATAAAACTGGTAAAAAATTACCGGGAACATTATTAATTCTACCGGTTTTGTTATTGTTGGACACTTTACCGGAAATGTTAAAAAAATATTGATGTTTTAGGTAGAAATAATAATATTTTAGATAATTTTTTACCGATTTTATTATTTAAATAATAACAAAATCGATATCGATTTTCTTTAATTGTATATTAAGGGTGTCACAATGTAAAATTTTCCCTTGATGGAAACTAATGCATTTTTCTTTTAATATTTGGCAACTCTTTCAAGGAAAGTGGACAGGTAAGGTAGCCTTTCTAAATCACTTATGAACTAATTAATTTTTCTAATCTTTTGAAACACCGGCCACTGTGCTGCCCACAATATATTTTCTTTTATCATTTTATATCGCATGAAAAGATTTTCCGTATGATCTTCTTAATATTAAATATCAATTAAAGAGTTAAATGATATTTTGATCTTTAAAATTGTATATTATTATTATTTTGATATTTGTCTTTGTGGTTTAATTTTGATCTTTAAATTTTACAGCCGTGTTGTACATTATCTCAATTTATTTTTCTGTTACAAAAATAAAAATAACCCGATACTTTATAAATGTGTCACGTGACATATAATATATGTTAGATTTAAAAATTTTAAGAAAATTCATAAAAAGTTATTTTTAAATATTCAAAAAAATATTTGAAAAAACGTCCTGATATTTTACAAATTGAGAATTTAAATTTTATTATTTATTGAATTTTATTTTTTAAATTTTTTGAACTTAATATATATTATATGTTATATGATTTTTAGAATTCGCATCGCTTTTTTGTAATAAATAAATAGAATGAGTTACCTACATAACAGTTGAAAATTTCTGAAACCAAACTTAACTAAAAAAATCGAATATAAAATGATAATAAGATACAATTTCAACATCAAAATACCATTTATCTTTAAAATGAAAATAATTCTCATTGTATCTATTAAGCTTAAAGTTCAAACTCCAAATTGTGTTTTTTTTCTTCTATCTTTTAATTATGATTTATTACAATAAAGTGGAAACAAATCGTACAATTAAATTTATTTGTATTTAAATTGTCAATTTTTGAAGAAAATTCAAAATATTAATATTAATTAAATTAATATTCAATCAACATCTATTAATATGTATTTATTAAAAATTAGGTGCAATGACAATATCGAATTCAGTTCAACAATTAATGCTTTCTTTTTAAGAGTTGCTGAATTTTCACACATGAACATTGTATTTCGATGATTAAATCATTGGGTTAACTTAAATCACCATCATGGATTAATTATCAAACAAATCTATTTGATTATCGACACCCACTTGCTTTTAGATTATCATATATCTCAATCAACAATAAGATTTGCGTCAATTAGTTATAAAATTTGTAGATGCCAAGGTTTAATCAATGCTTATTCTTCTTTAAGTTAATTTAAAGTTTATGAATAATTGATCGACCGAATTTTGATGTATTTAATGTTATTATTAGAACGCATCAAGTGATATTAGTGATAAAAGAAAACATTGTTCTTCATAGAGAAAGAATTTAAGTAGTTATGTCTGGAAGGTGTATGTTATCAATTGATTTAAAAAAATTCTAAACAAATATTATTTTATAATTATCTCAATTATTCAAATAATAATAATAATAATAATAATAATAATAAATAATAATAATAATAATATAATAAATAATAATAATAATAATAATATAATAATAATAATACAACATGCATAAAGATTGAAATAAAAACAAGGAGGCAAATTGCAATGATGCATAGATTTATGGAAGGTTCTATGAATATTTAGTTGGTGTAAAGCAATGTCGGCGAAGAAGGGAAGTTGAGAGGTAGGCATCGAATTTGGATGCCATTTCCCTTTCAACCTGATCTTTTGCTTTAATATTTCGGCCTTTGACTCTTCGGTCCTTGCTTAATCCTATGCCTCTTTTTGAAAGTGAAAATGAAGACTGATTCCTTCAGCTTATAAGACGATATTTTAATTATGTTATAAATAAAAATGATAAATAAATATAATTATTGATCTAATCTTAATTTAATTGATATCATTACGATTATAAATATAAAATAATATAGCTTCGAATATGTTCAAGACACAATATTCTCTAATTTATAAGTAGAAAACATCTTAACTCAATCCGTCTAAGTTATTTATTTTTTATTTAAAACTAATAAAAAATATTAATATTAATATATTTTTTAATTAAATTTAATATATATATATATATCTTAAATCATTTATTTTTTTATCTGGACCGGGCCAGGTTGTTCTTGTTTTCCTCCTCCCTGCTTCTGCTGCTTTAGGCGTTACCTATTTGGGCTAGAGTTAATTAGGCATTTAGTTTATTACTTTACTTGGATTGGGCCTTCTCGATCCGTTTGTTTGTTCTATTACTCATCTTTCTGAAGTGTAGTTCCAGCTACGATGATTAGTTGGTTAGCGTGCATATTATATCAGATACAAGCAGAATTGGTTAGGATCAATCTCATTACTGTATGCTTTGGAAATCACAAGAATTGAAGAAGAATATCTAGACTTATCATTGTCAAACAACAATAGAGGAGATGGTTAAGATAACTAGCTGGAAAATTGTCTTTAAAATATAACAGCATAAGAACATTGATTGATTGACCTCGTCATCAGGTTGTGTCTTTAATCCTTTGAAGCCCAGTCTTTACGGATGTCGAATGTGTAGTTGATCTCCAAGTGGCACTTGTTATCATCGTCAATGAACTGGCAAGAACAATTTCATAAACCGTGTCAAAAAAAAAACACTTCATATGTATGTATATAACTTAGTTGAACAAACCTTTGATTTTGCAGTATATGATCCTCTAGCAATAAAACCAGATGGGGCAGTCTCTTCTGGCATTTCATGTGTGTAAGGCTCTTGCTGAGGACTGAAAGTTCCAATCATATCTTTTGTACTGAAAACTGAAGAACAGATTCGTTTTAGGCTTTTTGAAGCGTTTTTTAGCTTCAATTTGTTTTGCAAGAATCAAGAGGCTTACCCCTGAGACCCGATTTCCATACGGTATTGGTGTACCTGAGACCAGACACAATGTTGTT